AGGGCGCCACGACCTCCCTCAAGACGTATGGTTCAAGAACAAGGGCGCCACGACCTTCCTCAAGACGTATGATCCAAGAACAAGGGCGCCACGACCTTGCTGAAGACGTATGGTCCAAGAACAAGGGCGCCACGACCTCCCTCAAGACGTATGGTCTAAGAACAAGGAAGAAGGGAACTATCCCCTAATAGTTCCCTTCTCTTCACTCCCGAAGCCTGGAACCCAGGAGAAACTGTGCCCATCACCGCCTTAGCGTTACGTGTGTAAATCTCTTTCCTTCACGATAGACGCGCACAAGTTCGATCCGATAGAGGCACCGGTCTATCGGATCAAGGGGTCCGATAGACCCTTAGATCACCGGCCACTGGCCATCCCCACTTGAGCGTGAGGTGTAGATAGTCTGTCTTTGAAGAAAACTTCAAAGATTTCTCGCACCGCAGCTTGCTGGAGGCTGTTCTTCTGAGCTAAAAGCTAAAGAGCTGTTCTTTAGGGTAAAAGAAAAGGGGAATTCTTTTAGCTTTAGCTGACTTTGGTGGTGATGGTCCAGCTGCCCATAGTGGTGTTCCAGCTGTATGTTACTGCCAGCTGTACTTAGTGGTGGTGTTCCAGCTGTCCTTAGTGGTGGTGTTCCAGCTGTCCATAGTGGTGGTGTTCCAGCTGTTCTTTAGTGGTTGTGTTCCAGCTGTCCTTAGTGGTGGTGTTCCAGCTGTCCTTAGTGGTGGTGTTCCAGCTGTCTTTAGTGGTGGTGTTCCAGCTGTCTTTAGTGGTGGTGTTCCAGCTGTCCTTAGTGGTCGTGTTCCAGCTGTCCTTAGTGGTGGTGTTCCAGCTGTCTTTAGTGGTGGTGTTCCAGCTGTCTTTAGTGGTTCTTGGACCATAAACAAGGGCGCCACGACCTCCCTCAAGACGTTTGGTCCAAGAACAAGGGCGCCACGACCTCCCTCAAGACGTATGGTCCAAGAACAAGGGCGTCACGACCTCCCTGAAGACGTATGGTCCAAGAACAAGGGCCCCCGACCCCCCTCAAGACGTATGGTCCAAGAACAAGGGCCCCACGACCTCCCTCAAGACGTATGGTCCAAGAACAAGGGCGCCACGACCTCCCTCAAGACGTATGGTCCAAGAACAAGGGCACCACGACCTTGCTCAAGACGTATGATCCAAGAACAAGGGCGCCACGACCTTGCTCAAGACGTATGGTCCAAGAACAAGGGCGTCACGACCTCCCTGAAGACGTATGGGCCAAGAACAAGGGCCCCCGACCCCCCTCAAGACGTATGGTCCAAGAACAAGGGCCCCACGACCTCCCTCAAGACGTATGGTCCAAGAACAAGGGCGCCACGACCTCCCTCAAGACGTATGGTCCAAGAACAAGGGCACCACGACCTTGCTCAAGACGTATGATCCAAGAACAAGGGCGCCACGACCTTGCTCAAGACGTATGGTCCAAGAACAAGGGCGCCACGACCTCCCTCAAGACGTATGATCCAAGAACAAGGGCGCCACGACCTCCCTCAAGACGTATGGTTCAAGAACAAGGGCGCCACGACCTTGCTCAAGACGTATGGTCCAAGAACAAGGACGCCACGACCTCCCTCAAGACGTATGGTCCAAGAACAAGGACGCCACGACCTCCCTCAAGACGTATGGTCCAAGAACAAGGGCGCCACGACCTCCCTCAAGACGTATGGTTCAAGAACAAGGGCGCCACGACCTTCCTCAAGACGTATGATCCAAGAACAAGGGCGCCACGACCTTGCTGAAGACGTATGGTCCAAGAACAAGGGCGCCACGACCTCCCTCAAGACGTATGGTCTAAGAACAAGGAAGAAGGGAACTATCCCCTAATAGTTCCCTTCTCTTCACTCCCGAAGCCTGGAACCCAGGAGAAACTGTGCCCATCACCGCCTTAGCGTTACGTGTGTAAATCTCTTTCCTTCACGATAGACGCGCACAAGTTCGATCCGATAGAGGCACCGGTCTATCGGATCAAGGGGTCCGATAGACCCTTAGATCACCGGCCACTGGCCATCCCCACTTGAGCGTGAGGTGTAGATAGTCTGTCTTTGAAGAAAACTTCAAAGATTTCTCGCACCGCAGCTTGCTGGAGGCTGTTCTTCTGAGCTAAAAGCTAAAGAGCTGTTCTTTAGGGTAAAAGAAAAGGGGAATTCTTTTAGCTTTAGCTGACTTTGGTGGTGATGGTCCAGCTGCCCATAGTGGTGTTCCAGCTGTATGTTACTGCCAGCTGTACTTAGTGGTGGTGTTCCAGCTGTCCTTAGTGGTGGTGTTCCAGCTGTCTTTAGTGGTGGTGTTCCAGCTGTCTTTAGTGGTGGTGTTCCAGCTGTCCTTAGTGGTCGTGTTCCAGCTGTCCTTAGTGGTGGTGTTCCAGCTGTCTTTAGTGGTGGTGTTCCAGCTGTCTTTAGTGGTGGTGTTCCAGCTGTCTTTAGTGGTGGTGTTCCAGCTGTCCATAGTGGTGGTGTTCCAGCTGTCCTTAGTGGTGGTGTTCCAGCTGTCCTTAGTGGTGGTGTTCCAGCTGTCTTTAGTGGTGGTGTTCCAGCTGTCTTTAGTGGTGGTGTTCCAGCTGTCCATAGTGGTGGTGTTCCAGCTGTCCATAGTGGTGGTGTTCCAGCTGTCCATAGTGGTGGTGTTCCAGCTGTC